CCCCCCCCCCCCAGGCCGATTTTCAAAGCTTGGTTGTGCCAACACCAAGAAGGTTGGTTTTGGAAAAATGTCGTCGAGGGTTGTTCCGTAGACGAATCGGGCTCTGTCTGCACCCGCTTCTTTGTGGAGCGATCGAGTCTGGATTAACGCGAATACCTGACAAAGTTTACGATTGACATTTGGGACATCGCGTCTCGGTCTCTCCTCGTCAACATTCTTTGAGTTGTGCTATTTGTCTCTACTCCTGGATTTTTCCAGTCGGAGGGAGATGTTACGGGGCACTCCCCAAACCTGTGCCGCTCTTTCTCGCTGGTGAGCTCCTTGCTCTCTTGCCTCTCTCTCTACAATATATATTCATGTCTCTCTGCGTGTCTCTGTTGCGCTGTCTCCCCTCCTGTCTTGTCCTGATTGTCCTTAACAACACCAATCCTACTGCTGCTGCTGCTGCTGCTGCTGCTGCTGTTGCTGCTGCTTGCCCCTATCCAATATCCTATCTCGTTTTTCCCGCAGCACACTCTCTGCCCCCCACTGTCTTATCTTGCTTGTTCTTAGCAACCCCAATCCTGCTTGCTGCTGTTGCTGCTTACCCCTGTCCAACATCCTTTCTCATTTTTCCCGCAGCACACCCTCCGCCCCCCGGTGTCTTCCGCCGAGGGCCTCTTCGGGGGCGCTTGCCTGGGAGTGAAGGGGTCCGACTGCGTGGTGTTCTTCGACTGGGACGAGGGGGTCATGATCCGCAAGATCGACGTCGTCCCGAAGGAGGTGGGTTACTGTAGCGGGCCAGCAAGAGGGGGCTGCGCGGAATGGGATATCACACGAGCCTCGTCCATGCTCTTCGTGCTTGTTGCGGTAGTGGGCCCTGTATAGTGTCATAGTGCCATAGTGCCGGCATTTGTCGACAGACTTTGCGGGCACCATTCAGAGTACAGAAACTACTTGGTATTTTCAGTGTGTGCGAGCCGAAAACACCGGCACTAAACCGGCACCCGGCACTAGCCGACCGGCGCTACATGTACAGGGCCCACTACTGTTTTTTTTTTTTTTTCTACCTTTCGTAGTTCGATTTGTGTTGGAGTTGGCAAAGGGGTGGCCGTTGAGTTGTAGAACATTGGCGTTCCCCCCTCTGATCCGCAAGGTCGACGTGGTCCCCGAGGAGGGGTTAGTGAGTCAGTATGGAGTCGCGCCATGTGTGTACCCGGCGGCGGGTTATTTCTGACGTTCTGTGACCTCCCACCTCGCACCCCGATCCATGTCAGCTGCCTGCTCCTGCTCCCTGCTTTTTTTTTTTTTCATCTTGCGATAGAAGGAAAAGGAACCACAGGAGGAGGGCCGGTTTAAGGGACTTCAGGCAGAGAAAAAACCCTTTTGTGTGACCATGGTTGGAGTAAACGGCACAAGTGCTGTGAGGAGCGCTGATCTTGAAGTGAAGACAAACAAACAAGAAAAATCATCCCTTTCGATGACGCTGCTGTCTTTGCTCTCACGGGCCCACCCCTGTTGTTGGATGCATTTATGTAGTGCATCCGCTTCAAATGTTTCGCCGCCTTTCCTTCTTTTTTTTTATTGGTGCGCGCAGGTGTACTGGTCGGACAACGAGGACCTTTGCCTTCTGGCCTGCCAGGACAACTACTACGTGCTACGATACCACGCTTCCACTGTGGAGGCGAGTCTCTTGACTTGTGCTTTTATCCCAATCTTTGTCAGGTCTTTGTATAGATGAAAGCCCGTTCTGAAATTGAGTTATGACAAGGTCGTGCTTTGTGGGTCTTGGTACATAGACCTTGATAGAGATGCCACGCCTCTCCACTACTCCACTGTAGAGTAGACCTTAAATTGAATTAATTCAATTGTGCGATGTTTTACTGATTTAATTAAATTGTTAGATGGGGCTTGGTGGCAATAAACATTAATATCTCATGTACAGATATAATCCGGCATAAAGATCAGCGATGGACGTTCGTTCGCTTGCTTAATCATTATGTTTTTTATCTGTCTTCTAGACGAAGGAGAGTGCTACATACTTTTTCACACGGCAACTTGTTTTCAGCAAGCTTGGCTCTGCGGCGGTTCCTGCTCACCGTCACGATCTTCGTTTCTTCGTCTCTCTCTGTCTCTCTCTGTATCGCTCTCTCTCTCTCTCTGCCGTGTGTGGCACAGGGTGCCTTGCAGAGCGGCATTGCCGAAACGAGAATATTCTGTCAGTCTCATCGTTCTCTCTTACCTGTCCATGTAGATAAAAAAAACGTCCAGCAAAGGTGTATCGTAGCGATGACTTTGACAACTTACAGTTGTGTTTCTCTATTTCAAGTATTGTTTGTTGATTACTTTTCCCTCTCTTTTTTCTTTGCCGGGTGTGCCACAGGTTGCCCTCCAGAGCGGCAAAATCGACAGCGAGACCGGGGTCGACGCTTCCTTCGAGCTGGTGCACGAGATGACCGGAAAGATCCGCACCGGACAGTGGGTCGGCGACTGCTTCCTCTACACCAATGAGGTGTGTATGTGTTGTTGTTGTTGTTGTTGTTGTTGTTGTCCTCACATTTGAAAACCGTTCCGATCTCCCTCTCCACCCAGTGCCTTCATCTGTCCATGCTGATCAAACATCTGATCGAGCGATTCCCGTGGTGACAGGCTCACTTACCTACAAAGTGTATACTCAAACAAGGTGGGACCCGTGTTGTGGACACAGTCTATTTGTTGCCGCTTGCTGTTTCGTGTTCTTTTCTCTCCAGTGTGGGTAGCTTCGCTCTTGAGATAACATCCAAGCGAAGCTAATCGAAGCGGCTGACCAAGCAGCAAGGCTGCTCCCTCTTCGCCGAAGAGACCTGTTTGGGTTAAAGGGGTCTAGGTAGTGCTTGCTGCACGTGTTCAGCTGGGTTTGTCACTCATGGCCTAAATCTCAGCCCTGTTGATTCTCTTCCTGTCTGAGATATCTACGGCAACGAGATAACCAAGCACGACCCAAACGCCGCTTGCTTGGTTACGCAATTGTTTCAAAAATTGACTTTGTTGTTCCTCCTCTGTCTGAAATGTGGCAAACGTATGAATACCAAACCGCTTCCTTTGTCACGCAATGTCCTAGCATTTGACCTCTTCAGTATTCTGATTTGAGATACTTTTGAGTACATATGACAGCGAGATAATCAAAAACTCGAAACGAATGCCGCTTGCTTGTTGTTGTTGACACGATGAACGAATGTAGATATACCAACGAGACTCAATCAAGTGCCACTTGCTTGACTTTGCCATTTCACGTCTCAGCATCTTGATGTTTTTTTTGTTTGAGATACTGTATATACGGCAGCGAGGCAAAACCAGAAACTGAAACAAATGCCGCGTGCTTGCTTCGTCACAACGACGTGTCAGGGGAGGTTGAGCTACTACATCGGGGGGGAGACGATGACCCTGTGCCACTTGGAGCACCCCATGTACATGCTGGGCTACCTGCCCAAGGAGGACCGGGTGTACCTCATGGACAAGCAGCAGAACATCTACAGCTACCGCGTGCGCCAGGCCATGCTACAGTACCAGGTGAAATTGTTGACGATGTTGGTGATGGTGTTGTTTTTGTTGTTGTTGTTGCTGTTGTTGTTCATGCTGCAGTACCAGGTGGCTTAACCACTGTGCTGATGTTGGTGCTGATGTTGGTGCTGATGTTGGTGCTGATGTTGGGTGCTGCGGTGGTCGAGACTGTCGGATTTTTGTGCCAGACGGCCGCTTACGACTTGTCTCCCATTGCACGCGAAAACTACACATCCCTCGGGGGCGTGTTTCAGTTTCATTGTTATTTCCCTTCTGTTCTTGTTCTTGTTTGCTGCCATGCAGACCGCCGTCGTGCGGAAGGACTTCGAGACGGCCAACTCCATCCTCCCGTCCATCCCCAAGGGAGAGTACACGGCCGTGGCCCGCTTCCTCGAGAGCCAGGGCTTTAAGGATGAGGCGTTCCAGGTGGGGTGACAGATGGCCAATCCCCCCCCTTCCCCCTTTCGCCCCCAAAAACCATCAGTCCTCCTTGTTCCCCACCGCATGATACGCGCGCTCTCGTCTCTTGTCTAATGGTCTTGATGAAGAGCTGCATTCCCTACCGTATGATCCGCTCGTTCTTATCTCTCGTCTGATATTAATGCAAAATAAATACAAGCACAGAAAGACAATTTTTTCCGTTCGAGATATACCCACAGTGGAACGGGATGTGATCCTGATAGTCTAGCTGAGGAGCTGCGGTGTGGGAGCGGCCACTGACTCAAATCCGGAATCAGTCCCTCTTATGTATATGTACTGCAGCTCGCCCTCGTGTACACGGGGTATACACCCTAGCGTTTGGTAGCTGTCCGTCCCTTTGGTGCTGGTCTTTGTTGTGTGCGTTTTTGCCTCGAGGGGACGGCGAGATTTTGCGGAGGTTGTGGTGTCAGTTTGTCATTCAGTCAGTCGGGGCGTGTGTCGAGTGTAGCGTAGGTCACTGCCGTAGGTGGCCTTGTCAACGAGTTATTCCTGGACTCGCTCTCTCGCTCACTCCCCTTATCCCTCTCTCCCTCTCTTTGTGAAAAAAACGATTCCATTCTTTTTTTTTTAACTCGTGTTACTACCACAACACAACGTGAATCAAGAATCAAGGTGTCCCATCGACCCCTCTCTCTTGTCTATCTCGCTCTCTCTCTTTTTCTCTCCCCTCTACATTCCGTTCCCTCTCCTCTCCCTCTCGCTCTCTTGACACGTCTCAACATGTTTCCTTTTTCGTTTGTTCGTCAAGGTGTCCCTCGACCCCGAGCACAAGTTCGACCTGGCCCTCGAGCTGGGCAAGCTCACCGATGCCAGGCAGATCCTGGACGAGATGCCGAAGGAGGAGTATGACACCACGGACGCGCAGAGCAAGTGGAAGCGCCTGGGAGACCTCGCCCTCACCAAGTGAGTTTCTGCTTGTGGTTTTGCTGCTGCTGCTGCTGCTGCTGCTGCTGCTGCAGAAAACAGTCAGTACAAGAAAACATGCGAACATGTTTGTGAGGCGCCCAAACGGATCGTAGGGAACCACAAGAAAATGAAGTACAAGAATGGGGACACCAATACAGCCTTGTTGAAGCGCGTATGTTGGAGTAGCGTTGGCTTCATCTGATTGGTGGACGCGCGCAGAAGTAGGGCGTTGATTCCGGGGTCCGCGGCAAAAGCAAGAGAGGACATCACTCATTTATCGTACTGTAGGGGAAAAATGCGAATCTCCCAAAATACGATGGGGTGGGGGTGGTCATCGTCGTCGCCCCCGCCCCACCCCCCGCGTCATCCGAAAGTTGCGACAGCTGGTGTGTAGCCCTGCCCCCAAACGTTAGCCTGTTCCCCCCCCTGCCTCGTCCAGGGGTCGTTAGAGATATGCTGTGAGTGACAACTCCCCCCCTTCCTCCATCCATCGTAACCCACTCCCCCCCCCCCCCCCCCCCCCCCCCCCCCCCCCCCCCCCCCCCCCCCCCCCCCCCCCCCCCCCCCCCCCCCCCC